CAAACCCGCGAGTTTTGAAGAACTCCACGATATCCCCCAGAAAAAGAATAAAGAGGAGAGAGCTGAGGATCTCTCCTTGAAGTACCCCCTCCCCCACCTCCACCTTATCCGACAGGCCGTCCCTCGATCGGATCTGGAGCGAAGCTTGATTGTAGAAACTCATCAGAACGTTAATGATCTTGGAGCTGAGACCAATCTTGTGTAAATATGACCACAGTTTGAGATGAGACACGGAATCGAAGGCACGTTTAAAATCCACGAAAAGCGCAAAAACCTTGCCATCTTTCTGTTTAAGCCTCATGTGGATTGCTGATTGAAGGACGAAAATATTATCTGCGGTGCCTCTGCCTTTCACGAATCCAGCTTGTTCTTTAGGAAAAAGTTTCTCAGAGACGGCCCAGGGGTAAATGCGATTTTGGAGAATCTGAGTGAAGATCTTGGCACAGGAACTGATGAGGGCAATGCCTCGGTAGTTAAAGAGGTCCGAGCGAGGTCCTTTTTTGTGAAGCATAAACATGATAATGCGGGCCCAATGCGCTGGGAAGACTTCTGTTGCGAGGATTTTGTTAAATAGGCCAAGTAAAAAGGCTTGCCAGTCCACCGGGAGGGCTTTGTAGAATTCGTTGGAGATTTGGTCGCATCCCGGGGCTTTGCTTAGCTTGATTTGCTTAAGACAGGTAGAAAGCTCATATGGGGTAATCACGGCGTCCAGTATTGGGTGAGCTATACTAGGAAATACGAGCTCGAGAGAAATTTGCAGTGGGTAGACTTGTTTCAGGAACAAGGACCATTCGCTCAGCGAGATTGAGTCACAGTGTAGTAGCCTAGGGGTACATTTTTTTACTACAATCCAGAATTCTTTGGGGTTCCTCACATTTGCGAATTTCATCGTAATTTCCTCAAAGTATTCCAACTTTTTTTGTTCCTTCAGAGCCTCATATCGTTTGTCAAGTTCAATGTAAATCAATTTCAGCTGTGAGTTGCCACCAGCTTTCCTCAGTGCACGCAGAGCTTTTCGGGTTTCTTGTCTGAGAAACAAACACTCGTCATCGAACCAGGGTTTGTGCATTCGGGAGGCAGCCCGTGTGGTTGTTATCATTTTCGCTTTCGTGGCTGCTCGAGAAATAGCTGACTGAAGTAACTCGGCTAGTTGGTGGCAGTCGAGCATCTCAAAGTTAGAGAAAATTTCTGGAGCAAGATCTATCTCAAGAGAGAAGGCAGCCTGGCGAGAGTTCTTCCATCTAATGATTTGAGAGCACTGGCTGAGAGCAGCTGGAGAGGCTTCGGCTAGAGTGTGGGTGTAGAGTTTGAGGAGAACTGGGTAGTGGTCGGAACCGAACTTGTCAGTTTCGACCCGGAAATCTGCCACCAGGTCTAGTTTCGAGGCGTTGAACCACACTAGATCTATTGTCGAGAATTTGTCTATTCTTTTGCATGTGAAGTTCGCTGGAGAGTCACTCAGGGTCCTACCGTTCAACAGGATGAAGCCGTTGAAGTCCATGAAATCAATGATTTGTCGACCACGGGCATCAAATCCCAGGTCACGAGAATTGCGTGAGACACTCAGGGAGCCCAGCTCAAAGGCCTCATTAGGAGCTGTATCATGATCACCAACGTGGGCATTGAAATCCCCCCCCCCCCCCTAGAATAATACCATCGTCTGGAAACATTTCTGATAAATCGTCGAGGATTGGTTGGAATTCAGCTAGTACCTTGACGAAGTTATCCTCTTGATTAATGTAGAAACTTACGATGATAACATGCCAAGTAAATAACGAGATACGGGAGATAATCCACCATCTGGAGGAGCCTAAGGTCAACGAGGAAAAATCGTTGGGTATGACGTTCAGGAGCTCTCCACTACCCCGGCCTCTGGAGCCGGTTCTGGTGGCTGCTACGTCGACTGAATTACGGGAGCTCAGGCAGGTTGGAAGGTTAATTGGGTCGCCAGGGAGACACCAAGTTTCAGAGAGGCAACAAACGTCATAGCTGGCAAGGTCGTCGTGGTTGTGAATATTCTTGATGCCTTGAAGGTTCCAAAATATAATACTACACATTCTTAGTTTTTTGGTGGTGAAGAAGAAATTTGCATTGGAGATATTCTGGGGCCCTTGGGAGGGGCACTGCGTGAGTGAGGGTTCTTCTCAACAAAGTCACCCTTCATGTGATTCCAGTGATGCCAAATACCATCAAGACAAAACTTGCTGTAACCAACCCTCACTTCGTGTCCCTTAGCTCTGTGTTCTGCTGCAATGTCGCGGACTTTCTTGTAAATTTCCGATTTCGCCTTCGTCAAGTCCGGGTCGATGTAGATTTTCGTTCCTTTCAGTTTGAATTTCGAGCTCATTATTGATTGCTTCAGCAGTGGGGTGTTCAGTGTAACAACAATGGGCTTCAGTGGGCCATTTCCAAATTCTCTGATGTTTATAAAGGCTTTTTGAAGTCCAAACCGAGCTGATAAAAGGTTCTCAACGTCTGTGGCAAGGGTTTCTGAGGCTCTGGCGAGACCTTTGATGACAATATTGGATTTCCTGAGTTCTTTCTCCTGATTTTCAAGCCTCCGAAGGAGGTCGTTGTACTGCACAGGTTGGACGGAGAGGCAAGTATCAAGTTTGGCTTCAATGACATCTATTCTAGGAGCCTGTGAACTGTGAGGGCAGGAGTGAGGATCGGATTCGAGTTTATTGGCTAGGATTTCGAATTTCTTGTTAAAGTCCTTCCTGATGGCTGAGAAGCGCTCGTTAGTTCTTTTGGATTCAGAATGTAAATCCTCCTCAAATTTCGCAAATTCTGATTTGTTGGCTTCCTGGAATGTGACGATCCTTGACTCAAGCGACTGATGGTTCGTGCTCATTGTGGATTGGATTTGTTGAAGTTGTTGTTGGAGCTGCAGAAGTAACGTACCGACTTCAGCGGCCGAAGGAGTAGGGGGCGGAGAGGACATGTTGGCAGGTGTAACGGTTGAGGGTGTCGGTGAGCAGGAAGAGGAGTCTGAGGAGGGAAGGGTATGAGAGGAGCCGGCGGGAGAAGAAATTAGAATGTTTGGGGATTGTCGGTTTGGTTTTTTGGGAGTCAGAGATACCTCACTCTGCGAAAAGTTATCTAGGTCCGCTTCTGCTCTTTTTCTCTTGAGGATATCTTTGATACAGCCGTCCGAAAAACTCCTGTTGCGACCGAGGGAGTCCGCAGAGGATGGTCTACCTACTTTCCTGTGCTTGGGGCGCAACTTTGCTGAAGAGGGTGCGAATGAAGATCCAGGAGTGGCGAATTTTGACAGATCAGAGAATGAAGAGTACGGTGTTGAGTTATCGACGGGGGCAAATGGAGCAGCGGCTTCGAGAGTGGAGACAGCGTCAGGCTGGAATGAAACAGGTGGCGCTGGAGGGGACACCGACTGTTGCAGCTGATGGTAAGGTGGGGTGTCGCAGGACCTCTGAGCCGTTTCACGGTCCATAAAAAGAGCGGTATGGTTCCCAACAGATTTTAGGTTAGTTTCAAATCACAGGTGAATCTCAAATAAATTGCAAGATTCTCACCTTGAAAGATGATGAGTAATTTATCAGCGGAATCGCTACAATTTTCCAGATCGGCTGATGACCCGTCCTCAAATTAAACTCGCCTCCAACTCAAGAAAAAGATAAATAAAGCCACAGCCAAAATACCGCACGTGCAACGAGATGTTAGCTCAGAACAGAGCCTCCCATAGCGAAAAAGAACTGAGAGTTCTTTGTCGTTAGGTGACGATATTCCTTTGGTCTTTTTGACTAGTATTTAGTCTGCTGGAGCAGTTCGTAGAGTACAGACGTTTCTTCCTCGTGCGATATTAATGAATAAAGAAAAGTAAAAGTTAATTCACTGCGTTTTAATCATTATTTCATAACCTATTTCCATTAACCAAGGATCGCAAATAACTTCCGTTTATGTTTAAAATTTTATTAACCTATGAAAAAATGATAATCGCAAGTTATTGATCCATCAAGTTTATACGATAAAAAAAATTATTTAAAAAAATAATTCAAAATTATACATCTTTCCCGCGCTAGAATCATTTTGAGTTATTTCAATGTATTGAGACCCAGAGTGATAACGACGGCCCTGCGCTCTCGCACCACCGCAGTAGAAACGTGCGAGGCTCCGCCAGGCGCTGGGGTGGGGAGCGGGCATTTCTATTCAGAGGGCTAATTCAAGTCTTTTTTACTGCTTGATTCAAGTTAGTTTGTTGGCTTCACTTACTTACTGCCCCCGCTACCTAGGAGCAGGTTTTCGGCTCTCGCACAGTAACGAAACAGTGCCAGTTCTTCAGCGCCACAGTTCCCACGTGTAGTGAGAATACATTACTTCTGTTCGAGGCCGTATTGAGCCGACACTGACGTCGCGGCTCTCATCATACTGTGTAGGCTACGCCTCACTGAGACGGCATAGAGTGGAGGAAACACCCTTTCGCTTCAGAGGGTTAATAGTTTCGAAAATTTTCATTTACCAAAGACAATTTGATCTCAGTTACTTTAGCTGTCATCATTCAGTGATGAAAGACATTTTAAATGAATATGGATGCGTAAAAAATATATCCCCGGTGATTATATCTAAATTAAATGTAGCATAGGGGGGATTCGGGCAAAATGGGACGTTTCATGATCTCTAATTGTCAATATCTTTACTTATAAATGAAGATATTGACAATTGGAAAAGATCTCAATGCGTCCCATTTCATTCGATACTCCCCTATATATGAGATATATCTAGGATATATTTTTAGAAAAAGGCAATATTCAAGATCCATCTATAGTTTGCGGATATATCCGGACTCTTATATCATCATATATCTTAAATATTGTATATTTTGCTGCAGATATAACAGACATATTTGAGATATATCTCAGTAGGGAAATGATATATGGGATGCAAGTATTCCAATTGCAAAATTAATTTATTAATAATTAATTAATTTATCATCATATAGCATTTATCTCGGAACTGATAAATTGAAGATGCTTGCTCAGAACATTGTTAGCTTGATGCATGGACAATATACGGAATGGAAAGAAAGTGCAATAAAAATTATTCACAATAAAAAATTGTAGTTATTTTTTCCAAACACTACATTTGGTCGCAGGATTCATGGGGCTCCCCACTGGATAATTGAAAGCTTTTGCAAATTCTAGAATATTGCGAGCAGCACCATTCGCTCGGTACTCTGAGGGACTGTGTGGGTAGAGCCAGTGCTTTTCCAATCCTGGAGCTTTACTTTCGCAGTATGTCTAAAAACAAGAATTTTCAGAAAGAACTCGAATAAATGTAAGACGAAAAGTAATCATTAACCTATTTCAAATAATGCACTACTAGTCAACGGGAATCATTTCATTTTTGTGAGGAGTACATGCCTGGCTGAAAGATATGAAAAACATCTCAATAGTAAACATCTCAATAGTAGTTCAATAGTAAAATTTTCAAATCTTTAATTCCCGATCTGATTTATTATGCTGCTTTAGACGTTCGTAAATGTCCAATGATGCTTGCATTCCTATTGCATCCGCCAGGATTTCGTCAAATGTTTGCACAGCTACTTCGCTTTTGTTGTAACTGTTAGCGAAATATCTCATGAAGCACGAAATTTGGTCATCATAGTCATCCAAAGCGTCATGGTCCAGAAAGAGGGCCTCATCGTACCGTCTGTGGTGAATGTCCGAAGAATAGTCATAGAAAAGGATATACAGCAGATGTCCTTATACAACACATACATATTTGATTCATTCAATAAAATTTCGACGAAACTACTTCGCATATTAAATACATGACCGAATTCGTGACCAATGGCATTGCCTATTGCTCCATAATTCAGGTAACTAGAGAAGAAAGAATTGAAATATACTGGATTCTGTACATGGTATTCATCCAGAACTTACTCTGGCAGTGCGGAACCGAAGAAAGACAGTTGAAGAAAAGCTGCATTTATGACTAAAATGAAATATTGAAACTATAAGTGGAAATAAAAAAAATAGCATACGATATTTACTCTACCATAAACATTTCCACGTCAAGGAGTTGTAAACATAGAAATAAATTAGATGTTTACTCACAGAGTACATTAGTAAAGGGCTGATAGTAGGCCTTTGCAATCAGTGGATTTGTATACCATCTGAAAAATATACCATCATGACAAAAATCGGAAGTAATTTTCTTCGTCATTATTATTGAGTCTTTCATCATTACCGCTTTGGTGTCACGCAATCAGTAAACAAGTAAAGATTGTACTACTTCTCGTAACTCCAGAAGCTCCAAATATTAGGTAAGTAGTCAGGACCAGTCGTAAACTGCGGATATCAATGAATTCAAATTCTCCTATACGCTTTTTTTAATGCATCGTGATAAAAAAATTTGCATACCTCTTTTTAATGATATTCAATGGCCGTTCGGTTTCTGCACCAATTTGGCATTCCGTTTAAAATTTTCGTTCTCCTAATTATCTCTGTCAATGCAGCGTTAGCATTATCAGGCAACCAATTGAAATTGTTGATTTGATGACGTAATTCGCCCCGCACATTTTTTATCATTCTTTCAGTCTGAAAACTGAAAAATATACATCGATCGCTGTACGATAGAAAAATAGTGAATATTGTTGTGATTATATTCACAGCTTTCTGAGTATCATCTCCAAAGTATTGTTGGGCGAACCAATATACAATAAGTCAGCATGCATCATTCTTGGATTTGCAAGACACCTTTCGAAAATAAAAAATATGCAGAGGTGAGTATTTTTCCACTTCTCGATACAATTGTAAGGATATCTCATTTACATGAGCTATGATCCAGTCTCATGCGCTTAATTGGTTTGGTTTCAACATATACCTGATTCCGTCCCATTTATTCTGACCAATTCAAAATGAGACCAAGAATTTTCAAGGTAGGGAAGTGGTCACACTTTCTTGAAACTCGTGTTCAGAATATTCTGTGACGATTTCGGAATTTATTGATCTTAATTAATTAAAATATGTATTTTTAATACACCACAACTATCCCCAAGCCCAATGTCTCCCAACGTAATTTTCACCCTAGGCGCCAGCCTATTTTATTTCTAATATTGGCCAAATAGGCAAATGCCAATTTTTCCATACAAAAAGTGATTAATTCACCACACACCGAAACTATCAGCTTGGACTCTTTCTAACAAGGGGGAGGAGGGACGATACCTCCTGTCGAATTCTTGGAATGGCGAGAAATAAATCAGAATGCAGAATTTTATGCTCCAAAGAAACTGGTCTATTCATAGTATATTACGTGCTAAGGCGGAGAAGTGCTGAATTCAACGCTGGTGGAGTACAGGCGCACGAGGCACGTGAGTCGTAGACGAACGGTGCCTCGTGCGCCTGTACTCCACCAGCGTTGAATTCAGCACTCGACGCCGAAGCGCGTATACTATTTTTTATTGCGAAAAGCCCGTGGGGGTTGGGGGTGGGGGCGTGGAGCGGGGTCCAGGGGGCGCAGCCCCCGGCGGGGGGGGTTGGGGGTTGCGGAGCCCCCCCCACTGAAGAAAAAACAAATTGCAAAAGAAAAAAAAAATCAAATGCATTTAAATTTCCCCGCCACAGCGTAATAANATTTTGGTACATTAACGCTGGGTGGCGCCACACGTTTTTCAGTCCTAAGGAGTGCATTTCTCACTTTTTCACTCCTAAGTATTGCATTTCGCACTTTTATACTGCTCAACGGTAAAAAGACCTACTTCTCATGCTTAACTACCGTCGGTAAAAGAGCCCTTTTTGGGCTTGAGCAATGAAAATAATATTTATAAGAAATGATAAAAAATACGAATAATTGAAATACAGAAATTTTAGATGTCTGAATCATAAAATAACACGAAAAACAAATGGACCACTGGCTTCACCAGTGCGCAAAATGAATAATTATATATTAGCGTGGGGAAATATCCTATCTTTCCCCACTCTCTCACTGAATTAAGATGAAATCTATTTTTAGCTGATATGCCAGCATCCAACAAAATTAATTCAGGATGAATCACGTCAAAATTATCTCTAAATCTATTCACAAAAATATATCAAATGAATTTGAACTCCAAATAATAAAAGAAAATGAACTATCGAGACTCACTGTCTCTTCTCAATACCAAATTACGAGATAAATTCTAACTCCACTCGACAGGGTTCAGGACTCAGTCTCGACCCAATAAACAAGTAAATACGCTCTAGACACGACTTATCTCAATCTCTGTCCAGTCCAGGGCTCCAGAATCCTCTCCAGCAGCTCCAGTCCGTCCAAGAATCGACTCAAGTCTCCAAAAATCTCAGCGACTCGACAGCTACTCGACTGAGCTCCTACACTCTACCTGTCTCAACGGGAACTGACGCTATGGTCATTGTTCTGCCCACACAAAGGGCCCTCCCCCACTAACTTTGCCAAAACTATTCAAATGAGCATCACATTAGCCCCTGGACTGGACAACAATTATTTCATTTCCTCTAATTTTCCTATAATAGAAAATTGTAAATAATTTTTCTAAATTGTTGATGATGTGGGCTCTGTCCCACGACGAGTATCCTTCCTTGGGGATGATTCCCCAAGACTGTCCAGGAGTTCCCTTGACTTCGAAGTTCTCAGCCTGGACTAGTCCAAGTTGTGAATCTCCACCATGTCCAATACTGCTGGATAGAGAGTCCCAAACTGCTGAATCGACTCGTCCATCGTGACCCCAAGAGATTTTTCTTAGGGTCATCCTCTTCTGTATCCTCGAGGTCCTCTCCACGATGAATTTCCCTCAATAAATAAATTCCCCAAAATAATTGAAAATAATTCTCCAGGTGAGGATTTCCCAATGGTTTTCTCCGTTTTCTTGAAGATGAGGGAGCTTGAGTTCTCCCCGAGACTCAGGTATCACTTAAATTAATTTTTAGAATAAAAATAAAAACAATAGAACCACTTGACAATCAAATTGTCACAATTCTTTTTTCTTTTACAGATTTTTGTGCATAAAGTGCCCCTTTTCGTAACTCCTAAGATCGTAGCTATTTTTTGTTTGCGGGATCTAGGGAATTCTCTTTAACGCAAACATGTCTCCACGCCAGACTCATGAATTTCCAATGAATGTAATTGACTGCAACCGATATCAGCTTTATATTCTGTGCAAAAATGGGGGCAGATTGAATATTCCATTACCTACCGTGCGTTTCTCTGTAGAATTCAACATTTGGAGTAGAGACTGATAATACCCGTCGTCCAAAGTGACACTATAGTTACTATCTATTCAAAGTCCGTGAAGAGAGAAATAACGTTGAATAATTTTCTGCCAGTTAATCTGAATTTTATGTGTGACGTGTGGAGATATCCACCCGTCGATTTTGTTCAATTTATATTTTCTGATGAAAATAAGGCAAACTGTCTGGGCTGAATAAGCAGTCCCACGGTGACACTTAAGTCCAGCTTCTTAGAATAGAGCTGTTTGACTGTTGTAGCCATTGTCAGTGATGACATATGGCTGTGTTAGTTATGAAAAACCGTGAGAATGCTTATTAAGTATTTCGAGCTAGTAACGATATTCGAGCTCTAAATCAAGGCAGAGTACGGGAGAAGTTGGACTTGAACGGATGTCCACTCCTCGCCAAAAATCTTAGCACCGCGCGCGATACCGAACTCATTATTACTTTGATTTTATATTGAATTATTAGCTTTAGTTTATTATATTGATCCATTTAATAATCGCTGTTTGGTTATTGGGACGACACCCTTCAATCCTTCAATCCTGTCCTGAACTTCCCCAAATGGGCGAACTCCCCGTGAGCTCGTATCGAGACTAGCTAGGCATAGTCTTCAAGTCGAAAAGTGACTTGATTAAGGGAGGACGAAAACCTCCCACGTCACATTGGCGCCCAACGTGGGGCACTCATTAAGGGAAGTTGAGTGCGAATAATCCATATTTTGAGAGAAGTGATAAATTCATGGGACGTTTTGAGTGATAAAGTTCAAGGAGGATTTGATCAAGTGTTGTGTGAGCGCGATTATGGATTTTTGGTCTAAGACTAATCAGAGACTAGTGAAACCTTTTTTTTTTATTGTGAAATTGAGTGGGACAAATGGTTTTGACTATTCGAGGTGCACTTCGTGTGAGTCTGAAGAGGAAATTCCAGTAACACGAGGTGTTCGATTCGCCAGATGGGTACAGTTGAGTCGTGTATGTGGTGATCGATCCGTTCTCTGGAGTAATCGATGAGGATCGCCCCCCAATGAAGAGTTAGGGATCCAAGATTTGGAACGGCATTAAGAATCGCAAAAAATCTGTCTCAGTTCACTGTAACAACTAGGAGAAGTTTTCATTAGACTCGATGACCAGAATAAACCGTACTTTTCACCAATATTTGGACAAGAAGAGAAAAATTTTTATGATGGAAAATGAAACACCGGCTGCGGTAGAAAAATGAAAAAAAAACAAATCGCAGAGGCAATAGTCAACAATTATTTCTCATGGCACAGAGATGGTGTGTCTGTGTGGCCAGTGGATACCGGAACTTGTTCAGACGGAACAGCAATAGTGTTTGAGAACGATCAAGTTGTGAAATGTGAAGAAACTTACACAACATCAATAATCGATCGAGACATTGCCACTGGGGAACGCCGAGGAATTTTGTCATGGTCAGCCTGTACCTGAAGATGAGAAAACGGAAATTCAGGGGGACCGACCCCACGATGCTAGGCAGGCTGCTCTGCAACAGTCTAGTCCAGATGAGAATCATTGCGACCAGCGCTTCGGAAATCGAGACGAACAAAGCTCGACAGAATTTGAAAAATCAATCGAACCAATTACGCAGCTGAAGAAAAATGCGGTCTCTTCCTGGCCGATCAACAGTGTGGAGACATTCCTGGGACAAACAGAAATATCGCAGCAACAGAATCGAGCAGTGAGAGACAGAAGCGCTCGGGAAATAATCGAGTCGTTGCAGTGGAGGCTAATGACTCGGTTATTTGATCCAGGGGGATCACCCACATCAGCTGAGCAGCAGGCAGCTGATCAAAACACTGTCCTCAGCGAGCATACGCGACCTAGCAAGCGAACGACGCGGGAGATGTACGCCGAGAGAAACAATTATGAGGAGAAAATTCTTATAAAATTCCAACATCTACGGACAGCTTCAACATTCTGGCCATTCAATCCAGGAGGATTAGCGACATTGGTGACCCTTCACGTACACGAGTACCCGAGTGCGTAACAATTACTCAAACGGATTAAGTACGGAATGAGTTCTGAAGGAATATTGTCACAGAAAGTCAACAGAAGAGGCAATGTTCTACGAGTACTGAGAGATAAAGACGTATGCAAATTGATCCAGAAGATACGTCACCACCAGCTATTCGACGGCCAACACTAGTTGAGCAGGGATGCTATGTATTCTCGTCAAGGTACAACGACGATGGATTCACATCAATTGCCGAGAGACAACAAGATTCTTCCCACTGCCAATTAATCGGGAGATTGATTTTTGGATAAGTAGGGAAGGGCTACTCATATGACCATGAGTGATGGAAAAGCATCGTTGGGCAGGTAGAAATTTTTTTTTTTTTATTTACAATTCATTGTAGACAGAAACAGTCTCTCAATATCATTGTAGAATATTGATGACATAGTCGAACGGAAACTTTTGTAGAATGTGAAAATTTTTGAGAGAATCTTTTGGGTTCTGTTGAAATTTCGGAAAGTAAAAATTCTATTTCGACTTCACAAAAAGAACACTACCAATGTCAATTACCAATTAATGGGAACATTAATTTCATGAATAATTGTAGGAATGGTAAAGACAAGTGGAACAACAAAAGTCAAAACATGGGAAAAATTACAACCCGAAAATATAGAAAATTTCTCGTATTACTAGTGGGAAGAAAAACGAAATGGTCAAATAACTTTCTTTTATATGTGACTTTTATGATTATGACAATGTGTTCGTGAGTCAATTCAAATCGAAAATTGTAGTAACCCAAAGAGAACGGTTGGCGGCGCTATTAGCAATATGGCGAAATCCAGTTGTACGGAAAAGAAATGATTGATAAATAAAATAAGTTTTGTAGTTGAAGAAAAGCATTGAATTTATTCAAAAAAAAACATCTCATCATAAACATTGGCGCCCAACAGAAGGACTCACTTAAAAAATGAGTGTGAGAGAATAACGAGTTTCATAAAAAATCAGTACATTCAAGTGGCGTCAGTTCGCAAGCAGTTGTAACACGTGTTGAGCGGCGTCAATACAATAAAAGTCAGTAAAACATA